CATGAATTCCAATACTAGTTCGGTCAGCATCGCATTACAAAGGGTCGGCGCGATAGTCGTTATCAGGTGGTCCAACAATGGTTTTCGAGGCTTTGCCAGCATACCGCCAACTAAGCCGATAAGCTCTCTAACACCGGTGAATAACAACTCGATTGAAACGGTCACGCAGAAGGTACTTCATATGGAGTATCATTCTGATAGGAATATTCCCACTGGGTTGCAGGTTTCGGCCACCGGACTGCTACCCGCATTTAAGTCGAAAATAGCCGAAGTTACTAACAAAAGTGCTATCTTTGAAGTAAGAGCCTTGTGATTCATTTTCACATCATTACCGTTGGGTCGATGAGTCCAGGGACTACATCGGACATTGATATTCGATGGTCAATAATCGTCTTATCAGATTTCTGTTGGAGTGGTTTTGGCTCAGTACAAGCAGATCTTCCTCAGTCTCATGCGGAACATCTTCCAATCCTTCAGACCGCTGCTGATCACCGTTATTATGGGTAGTACGAAATATTTAGCTCACCCCTATCCACTGACGCACTTGAGTCGTATGCCTACTGTGCCTCCGTTAGCTCTATTGAAGCGTACTGTGTAGGATAGAATAGTCCCACCACTCCGCTTCTGCCACTGGGCGCCAGTGTTGGCCCTCACATCTCCGCTTTTGAGGGTTGCTGGTAGCCTTGGTGGTGGTTGTCTCTGTGGTGGTTAGGTAACATGCTCAAGATGGCTGCATTCTTGATGCAATTCCCCGTATCATTCTACTCAATCTTCTTTTTCGAAGTATTCTATGGGATGGCGCAATTGGCGATCAGCTTCGTCTTCGTGTGTTTCTTCCACAACGGCATGAGCCTCCAGACGCGAGTAAGGATTGTTTTGGGTGTATGTTAGGTAACGTTCTTAAGATGGCTGCATTTCTGCTTCAAATACCGATTGGCTTTTACTCCATCTTCATGTTCGAATGCTTTTATGGCATTTTCCAGCTAGGATTAAGTTTCGTCTTTGTGTGCTTCTTCCATAACGATATGAGTATGCAGTCGAGGGTAATAGGATAGAGGGTAGAGCTTTTGTGCAAGAGTATAGCCAACAGAGCTGTGAGTCTTGCTCATATTTGGTTCACTCGGGAAGGATGAAATTTGTGATAGTAGGATCTCGAAAAAGGGTCCAATACACCGCGCCATCTCTGTGCTCTTCCTTTTATCAGGCTCGACAACAACTGCTTAGAACGATGAGCCGTAACTTGAGACGGTTCAAGCATATGATGTAGGAGCTGCATTTGCTGGAGGAAGCGTTTTTCAAAGGCAGAATATCATTGATGGCGATCCAGTTTCGTGTGGGAGATCAACAGGGTTTTGTGTTGGTGTCTACAGTGTGGCAAGTTTCAAGGGGACTGTCAGAATCATATAGAAGGGGACGTCCATTCGGAAGGAGCGGCTTCTGAAAAGAAGAAGTATTGTATTGAATGCAGCTATTAACGTTGCACTCAAAACTCGAGTAGGGTTTATGACCTAGCAAAAGGTTGTCGCCAGTGAAGTGGTTTTTATGCCTTCATTCTCATTGGAACGGCGACTGAAGGGGCACACACAGGTCGTCACCAGCGTGCGGTATAATCACAATGGGAGGTGGGTATAACTATGCAAAGTTTTCACCTACAACCAGATAAGGAATCCTGAGACCTTCTAGGTACTGCATGAGCACTTCACAGGATCGCTCTATACGTCTATGGAACCCGTCTAGCACCGCATGCGAGCCCATTAAAACGTACACTGGCCCCCACAATCGTGATGTTAATGACTGCTGTAAGTAGGGGGGTACTGAATACGGGCCATGGCTCACACGGAATTAATCAACGTGGCTGTTCCAAGGAGTACTCCTTCACTGATCGTTAGTATGTCAAGGTCTCCCGTGATTGGAGTCTTGGGGATCTGGAGGAATTGTGGTGTGGCGTTGACACCGGGGTAGAGTTTCTTAAGAACGTAGTAGTCACGTAGTATGAAGCAATACGCATGCATACGGCTGCATAGTCATCCTAGGGCACATCAGCTGAACTAACCATACATTATCTCGCTCAGGTATGACGGACGACAATGCTAAGTTCATCTCTGCTGGGGCCGACAAATATGTGTTCCTATGGGATGTGGCAACAGCAAAGATTATTCGAAGATTTGCACGACACCGTGGGCCGGTGAGTCTGAGGTGTTTTGCCCTTTATCCCTTTCTCTCCATCATTACTTGTCTACGACTGTGTTGTTGTACTCGTATGGCACTAGCTTTATTGTAAGCATTTACCTCTCCCCTGATGAACCTTTGGCAGGTCAACTGTTGTGATTTCGCGGGCCAAGAGCAGAACATACTCTTGACCGGGAGCAATGATAAGACTGTAATAATTGTTTCCGCTCCGTCTCGATCACACAGTTGGTCTCTTTCCGCTGATCACACTGCTATCCTACTTCCAACGTGGAGCACCTCTCGTTTGGTTATCTCCCGCGAGGTCTTCCTCACGATTAGTATATGGTTCTCGGTGTAGGTAATGTTGTGGGACTGGCGAGCATTCACCAACAACAAGCCGCTACAGACATTAACAGAAGCGTATGATTCTGTGCAGGCCATCAAGGTCATCAACGAGTATGTGTCTTATGTGCTCTCGTTCTTGTTCGATACTTTCCTTATAGCATCTGTTAGCACCCCTGGGTCGAATCATATCATGTATCGACTCTTTTATCGAGGTACGAGGTACTCACTGGAAGTCTGGACGGCTGCCTTCGACGTTATGACGTCCGCTATGGTCGGCTCACGGTTGACGAGTTCGATGGGCAGTCGATCAGCTGTATATCAGCAAGTAATATTATTCATATCTCCAAGATTCATGTCACGTTGAGGTTCTCAGGCTCTGATGCCCGATATCTTCTACTGGGTATGCTCGATAGTGGCATACGACTAGTGGAGACACAGAGTGGTCGGGTCGTTAAGAACTACAAGGGCAAGCATGTCAATCGAAGCTACAAAATCTATTGTAAGCCTTTGTAAGCGATACTTGTGGGAATCATCACGGCAACCCTTATCGCACAGAGAGAGCCGTTCTGCTGCGCCTTTACTCTCGATACGAACGCCACTTTAAGCCTGCATCTCCATAACTCGCAGGTACGTTTGACGGTTCCGAGAACCTTGTCCTCACTGGTTCGGAGGCAGGGAGTTTGGCGTGGTACGATGTAGCAGACGACGATTCAACTGGTGAGTGAAAGCGTTGTCGGGGCTTGGTAGTACCAAGCTCGACCATAAAAGTCCTCCCGTTAATTTCCGTGGTTGACTTTATCGTCGTAGGTTTTGTTACAGCACCAGCTAACAGCGGCGCAGTCCTATGCGTACGGTCTTTCGAGTCGCAAGTGCTGGCCACCACACAATCGGGTGAAATACTGGTCTACCATTCCGATCCTCAACAGTCCACTGAGCTGGGCCCGGCGCAGGCAAACGTTTCTAAGTGACAATCACACAGTACGCTTGAGTTGTCATTGTCCTGCTACAATATGGGCAATCCTCGTCGTATCCTGTGGAGAAGAAGGACACATTTGTTCCTTGAAACGTCTCGCCACATGCATGGATGAGGTTCAAGCTGACTATTTGGCTGTTGAGATTCAGTTACACTCCAAAGCATAGTGATCTTGGTCATCTCAGCTCGACAAGATTGCCTCCCATCGATCGAGGTATTCATGCAAGGCTGACTAACTTGATGCTATTCAGAGTGATTATGTCTTCCGGGCAGCAGTAGGAACCGTTGCCACACATGTGATGGGATGACTGCTCATCGAGAGGACTGCGCATGGAAGATAACATATGTTGTGCGGATTATATTATAGGCAAAGTGAATCAGAGATTTTTCAGGGTATGGTTCTCACTCGACTTCATTTCTCGTAAGCTAGGGCATCGCCTGACACGAGCTTCCACGTGCTATACTAGTTGAAACGTTCCGCACCGATCCGCATGCCATACTATCCATGTTATCGGTCCAAGCACGTGATTGTGCGAAAACCTCAGCATTGTTGTCAGACTAGCGTGTGATACTCTATTTCGCTATCTTGACGTCGCTTGAGCAAATGAGGCGATGTACTGACATGTCCTGTTGCCGATGGAAGATCCCTTTCTTGGAGAATCCTGGTTATGTTTTGGGGACTCGTATAGGCAAAACAATTATATATCTGAGTACCATTGCTGGTATAGTAATCAGCTCTATGTCGACTAATACCGGCTCGAAGAGCCTTGCGCTAATGAGCCGATGCATCTTGTACTCCGAACCGTTACCACTAGATTCTGGCTTGTCAGTCCGAAAGGGTGACGACTTGTCACTCACAGGCTCGGCCGGGGCTGAACTGCACGTTTCTGAATATGAAGGATGTAATACGATCGAATTGTCATGGTCTTGCGCTCTTAATGGTAGCGGCGTCGTTGATAATCTCTAATCCCTCTGAACATGGAGGAACACAATCACAGCGAGTTGCGCCCAACTTTACTGTATGCCTAGATAGTACTTGTGCCACATCCACGCAATGCTAGCGTTGTGGAAGCTGTGACTATCGCTTCCAGAGAGAGGATACGGGTTTGCTGTATAGTTTTGAATACTCTATGTCCCTCCCCACCTATCTTGATATCGACCCTAAGCTGGTTGACGTAGTGAAGTTCGAAGGGATCAACTTTATTTTCACCTGGATCGGAGCTCTCGTTAGACTGGTACATGGACTTATGTTGCAAGATGACCCAATCGTTATCTCTCAGATTCTAGATGCAATCATGCTCGGTCTTCTCCCACTAGGATACACCATCTCCCGGGTATGGGCACGTATGCGACAACAAGCAGAGCCGCCTAAGGTTGTCTTGATAACGGGAGCGGGTGGTGAAGGTCTCGGAGCTATGCTCGCTTTACAGTAACCTTAGTAAGCTAGGAAGGGCCCGACAACCCTGAGTTAGATACGCTGGGCCATCTACTCGTAAGCTCATCCTAACTGATGTTCATAGAGAGTCGCTTGAGGCTGTGGCGGAGGCTTGCCGCGCCAAAGGTGAGAACGTACTACTTCTCACAACTCCTCCAGTCCCACGGGACAAGCCTCTTTCGATTCTTCTCGCACTGCTAATGCCATTCTAAGCAGGCTGTGATCATTTGGATAGGTCGCAATGCAGGTACACCAGAAGTCGTGTTGGTCGAGGCAGATGTTTGTGATGAATCTGCCATGAGAGAACTGGCACGTGATCATTCTGATGTCGATCTGGTCATCGCTAATGCTGGTGAGCTCACGATTATAACTGGATGATATTTAATCGTTCAGGAGTGTCTGCCCATACAGTTCCAGGAGTTAGTGCTGAGAGACCAACACTGTCCGTGACTGAATCATCAGCGAAGGTTTTAAGTATCAATGTGTTAGGTGTTATGAATACGGTAAGTATTTGAAAATGATGGTTTTTGATTGGACACTAGGGGAATGATCGTCTAATCTAAAACCATCCCGGTAGTTTTCCCATAATTTTCGTACGGATTTGCCACCCGTGTAGAGAAATGATCGTCTTGTTTTCTGAACGGTTCTCATAGATACTTCCCTTCGTCGATCCGATGTGCAAACGT